TCAATCCTCAGTTTGATTATTCTTTCTGTCTACTGTTAGTTGTGATTATTTCATTTTTGTTCTAGAGTTTTCAGATGTGCTGTTAAACTGCTAGTATTAGATCTAACCCAAGGACTGCCTCTCCCAGAACAAGGAGCAGGCTGAAGGCAGATCCACATGTCTTCTACTGATCCAGTGCCCACCCCACCCCGTCTCACCCTCATTCTGTAGATGGAAACCTGCTATGGTGTCCCTTTCCTCTCTGACCCCTGTCCCCAAGGGATCATAAAGACCTTATCTTCCAACCTTCCTTCCCCCAACTCATCCCAATGACCCAGCTTCTAACACCAGCAAGCCTTGCCTGGGAATATACCAGCTTAACAAGCTAGGAAAACAGGCAACACACAGCCATCCCTGAAAATCAAAAAAGAAACAAAATCCAAGGAACAAAATGCTCACTCAACAAAGACAAACTCAGAAATCAGCACTTAGATCTTTAATCATCCCAAACCCAGATGCTGAGAAGCCAGCACAGAAACACAATCAACAAACAGCTAGGGCAGGGTATGTCCACTAGACCCAAGCTACCCCGCCACAGCGTCATTCATCACCTATGCCCAGCACTGCTGAATAATGCTTGTGGTGGTTCTCCAGTGGTTCATCCAGGACTGTCCTGGGCAGTCCTAGATGCTTGTGTTGTTGCCACACCCAAGGTTCCACAGTCTTCCTTTACGACCACCACAGCAGGCCCTGAATATTCTAATATAGCTGTAGCACAAGATAAAGACTTTAAAACAGCCTTCATGAATATGATAGAAGTCCTTAAAGAGAAAATGAATAAATTCTCTGAGAACTCCAGGAAACCTGGGGTATCTGGCCCTGCCCCTTGATGGACACTGCAGCTGAAGAGCCTGCCCCACCCCCCATCTGAGAGATAGATGGCCCCACTCCTCCCTACAGGCATGGGAGAGCTGGTCCCAATTGTGTGGGCCTAGGAGAGCTGGCTCTGCCCCTTGCCTGAGGAGGGTGATCCCAGTGCATCCCTAATAATGAAACATGATAGCCAGCGTTAGAGCTATTTCCTGGTTCCATTTGTGTGATCCCAATTTTCTCCAAGATCTATCCAATTTTTGTGTTCATTAGAATGGATAATTATATGGGTGCTGACAGGGACAACCAAGCCTCCATCTTTTACAGATATCATCTGTTCAATCTTTTCATTGCAATATCCTTTGAGTTATAACGTTGTTCTTGATTCCCTGCCTCAGTGGAGGAGAGAATGTAGAATCTAAGAAAATATGAACATTGAAATTACACATTCAGGGTGCTATGACCATGGATCAGAGCCATCCACGAGGATGTGGACCACATATCCTAACTCTGATGACTGATAGATACCTGCCTATGTCAAATAAGGGGTCAATAGATGTCTTTAACTGTCTACTCATACAAAAGTGTACACACACACACACCACACACGTGTATACACAAACACATGCAATGTGAACTTGAGTGGGTAAAGCAGAATGCTTAGATGCTGGGTGGAGGGGAGCAGATGTGATCCTTGTCATTTCTACAAGCAAAGAAGGAATGGGTGACCTTGTCACCTATTCTAGAAATGGCTATTTCTGGCACACTTTCTCCAGAGAGTTCCCTGCCCCCTCCACCATAAGTACTAGCTAATTGTCTGTGGGCCGTGGAACCCCTGGGTCTCCGCTGAATTAATGAGATGTTTCTCTCCATAGGATAGGAGTTCTGGGATCCCTCCCTTCATCACATACTTCTTCAGGCTTTCCACCACCAGGATCACTAAAAGAGATGCTAACTTCTCTACAGACTGTTTGCTAAAACCTTGCTAGTTAAGAGATGCCTCTACCCTATTTGGCCTCATCTACCCCATAGAAAAGGCAGCAGACTATGGTTGGTAAAAGGTCAGTTCATTTGTGTTTACACATGAGCTCTGGTGTTGATCACATACTAGCTTAGTGGTTTAAACTTTCCTTGTTGACTTCTTCATGTAAAAAGGAAGACACTAATACATAGAGTTATAAGAGGCAATCAGAGGTGTGTGGATAAATGATTAGCAGCCTGGATGAAGGAATTCAGAGCCCTCATTTACAGTGTTTGCTCTGTTTACACAGTACAAACACTCCTGCCATGGAAGATTTTTAGGTAATTATTATTCAAAACCTATCTCATAAAATCTGAAGATTTAATAATCAGATAAGCTTGTTCTAACAAATCACATGAATGTGTGCTCAAAAGAGAGCCTGGCTATAAAGCTTAGCAATTCTTATTACAATCAGAGATCTAGTTGCCCCTTCAGAGACCATCATTTTTCCTTATTTCAAGTTTCCTTCTTGATGCACCTGCAGAGACTAAGCACCAATTAAGAATTTCATCATGGGCAATTGCAGGCAACCAGACGAGGGTAAGTAGAATACTTGCTATTCTCTCATGAAATGCTAGTTTCCACGTGTCCCCAACTATAGAGCCCCAGATAGGAAGTTAAAAGCAGTGAGGGGCTTTTATCTGATTGCATTTAACTATTACTTTGGGGGTTGATTTTACCTTTTAAGGCAAGTGTACCCCAAGCTGGTCCCAAAGAAAATCCACGCACTGCTGCCTCTTGATTTGCCAAGATGGCAGGCATTAGATACTGCAAAACAGGGTGAGTTTTATCAGCCACATAAAACGACACTGATCTGGTGGCCTCACTCCCTCATACTGTGGATAGGAAAATGCCACAGTCTGCAGAGCTCTGCACTAGCTGTTCTCCTGTTCTCCCCCAGGAATTCTCTTGGTCTCAACATTTTTTTTTGAGTGGCTGACCTGAGAAACCTTACTTGCCTGAGATAGTTCACTGTTAAAATTCATGGTAAAATTGATAAGATTTTTGCAGAGCTACTATGGACACCAGATGTTCAGGAAGCTGTTTACCATACTTGGCACGAGTGATACACTCCACAGCTGTAAAGTACTAATAGCAAAAGGGGGAGATGACTACCCCTTCAGGCGACCAGCTTCCACCGAGCCTGATGACCTGGATTCGATCCCATGTATCCTCATGATAGAAGGAAAACAATTCCCACAGCTGTCTTCTCACCTCCACACACATATGCTGTCACACCTACACCCACACAAATGAATACAACATATCTTAATAAGATTTATTTATTTTATATCATGTATATGAGTATTTTGCATGCTTGTGTGTATGTTCAATATATGGCTTGGTACCTGCAAAGATCAGATGAAGGCATCAGATCTTCAGGAGTTAGGAATGGTTGTAAGACACCATGTGAGTGCTAGGAACTGAAATAGGGTCCTCTGGAAAAGAGCAAGTGCCTTTAACAGCTGAACTGTTTCTCCTGTCACTGTACAATGCATTTTTTAAAGCAACAAAAGACATGAAAAGACAGGAAAAAGTTTATGTAAAGTCGAGAATGGTAGCTCCATCATTGAGGATGGAAAATGGGAAGCCAGGGAAATGCTCAGAGATACCTGGAATGTCTTTTTAAAACCTTAACCTGATTGCTGGATACATTAGAGGTTGAATTCCTTACTATTTATACTGTAGAAATTTGTTTTTTTTTATACTTTGGTTTGAATATAAAATAATAATAATGAGAAATATTCTGCAGAAGCAAAAACAAAAGGGAAAGAAAGGAAATCAGGTTATGGAAAGAATGTCGGTGCAGTGAGTGAGAGCCCGTGAGTCTTCCATTTTAGAATACTTCTGACCGGACCCCACCCACCCATTGCTTTCCTGTCATCTGCCAGGGCAGAGAATCCTGTGTCCTCAGTTCAGCTTCCAGAAGAGCTGCAACCTCCCTCATCTGTAATGATCTGGCCAGCTATGCCCCAATATTTCCAGTCCATTCACTGATGGAGTCTGTGCAGGTGAAATTTTCCCCAAATTTGCCTTCCCTTTATAAATTTGACACTTTCATTCGCCTGCAGAGTTGGTATTTACATCTAAGTCTTTTGACAATGCAATTGTGAGCCGCAGCAATGTTTAACAAGCCACTCTTGCCTCCTTCCTGCTAGCTTACCATGAGGACTGAGTGAGTGGACCAAAGTTACTTCCTAGCCAGAGCAACTATTTAATAATAGATCGTAAAGAAGTCAAGACAAATGAAATTATCTGCTGTGTATGAATGGAGTCTCCTAAAATGAAAGAAAATGTCTCATATACATAACACATTCTGAGCCAGATTTGCTGGCTCAGACTTATAGTCACAGAATTCCAGAAGGTGATACAGGAAGATTGCCTGGAAGATTGCCAGCCTATACTTCAAACCCTATTTCAAACAAACAAACAAACAAAAAGACTCATTCTGTCTCTGATAAGCTATCTTACATAAGAAGATGCATAAAGTAAATGAAATATATTTCTAGTTATACCCATGAGTGTTCATTGGGTCAACACAGATATGATAATACTGTGAAACTTACAGAGATACAACCTGAAAATTCATTAAAAATAATTAGTTTGAATTTATTTTATTTATTTACTTATTTATTTGTAAACTACATATATAAACCACAGTCCATGCTTGGTGATTTTCGGTCTCAGAGGTACGTACATCCATAGCCCAAAAACACAGTCTTTAACTAGTTCCTCCAAGAGATGCTGGACATGAGACAACATAGAGAAAAAACAGAAAAGCTTTGAGAATACAGGGCACCCAACACATTTCTATCAGTGAGTGAATGATTTGTTTAACCAGTCTCATACTGACATTCTCCACCCCTAACCAGGAAGTCAAAGGACCAGTGTAAGGACCTACCTGGCCTCCACCACATTCTCGGTTTCCTCATAGCCACTAGACAATGTTTGACCAGGAGAAACAGGCAAAAACAAGGACCTACTTGGTGATGAACCTGGAGAGGAAGCTTGGGAGACCAGAGGAAGAAGAAAAATATCTGCCTTATATGTGCTGAGAAACTCCTAAAGTGAGTTTTAATCAGGCCTCTTATATCACACTGATCTGACAGCTTCATTCTTCCAACTAGACATGGCCAACAATACATCCACAATGGGATTCATCCTCCTGGGTTTCTCTGAACACCCACGCCTGGAAAAGATTCTCCTTGTGGTGGTCTTGTGTTCCTACCTCCTCACGCTCCTAGGAAACACACTCATCCTCCTGCTGTCCACACTGGATCCCAGGCTCCACTCTCCAATGTACTTCTTCCTCTCTAACCTCTCCTTCTTGGACCTCTGCTTCACCACAACCTGTGTGCCCCAGATGCTGGTCAACCTCTGGGGCCCCACAAAGACCATCAGCTTCCTGGGATGCTCTGTCCAGCTCTTCATCTTCATGGTTCTGGGGACAACCGAGTACATCCTACTGACGGTGATGGCCTTTGACCGCTATGTGGCTGTCTGCCAGCCCCTGCACTATGTCACCATCATCCACCCCCGCCTGTGCTGGCAACTGGCAGCTGTGGCCTGGGCTATAGGTTTAGCCCAATCTATAGTTCAGATTCCCCCCACCCTCAAACTGCCCTTCTGTGCCCATAGACAGATAGATGACTTTTTATGTGAAGTCCCATCTCTAATTCGACTCTCCTGTGGGGACACTACTTTTAATGAGATTCAGTTAGCAGTTGCAGGTGTCATCTTCCTGCTTGTACCTCTGAGTCTCATCCTTGTCTCTTATGGTGCCATTGCTAGGGCAGTGCTCAGGACTAACTCTGTAAAAGAGCACAGGAAAGCTTTTGGGACCTGTTCCTCCCACCTCATTGTGGTCACCCTCTTCTACAGCTCAGTCATTGCTGTCTATCTGCAGCCCAAAAATCCCTATGCCCAAGAGAGGGGCAAGTTCTTTGGTCTCTTCTATGCAGTGGGCACTCCTACGCTCAACCCTATTGTATATACCCTGAGGAACAAGGAGGTCAAGAGAGCATTCTGGAAGCTGCTGGGGAAGGATGGGGACTCTGGGGAGAGCTGAGGGAAAAATGCTTTCTGAATTAAAAAGTTTCTTCAACATATGTAGGTTGTATTTATATATTTGTACATACATATTATGTAACAATAATAACAAAATGAATAGAAGCTGTCAACTTGAGAAAGAAAAGACTTGTGAGGAATTGAAGAGAGAATCTGGTAGGGGCTAGAGGTAGAAAAGGGAAGGGAAATCAATATAATTCTATTTCAATGAAAATACACTTTTGGAAAAAATTAAGTGATCAACTTCCAAAGTGACACACCTGAGCCACTGTAGTGGAACGGTGTGACTGTGGAGAGGGAGGGAGGAAGAGAGAAGATACATGCATTTCCTTTACAGATCATAAGCTCAAACATTATCAACTCTTGATATTTCCTCTCTTTTCCATTGTATTTTTATTTCATTTCCACAAATCTGTAAACTCTAACTTGGGTGTTTCTTGATTTATCGTCTCTCCCTAGCTGTTCTATCTATATATCAGCATGTGCCATGCAAGCAAACCCTTAGGTTATAACAAATCTGAAATATAAAAAGATGCCCTTTGATCATCCTACAATGGGAGAGAATTGATAATCTAGTGACCTCTTACATCTCTGCCTATTCATCTATCTATCATGGATCTTTCTACCACCTATCTATCCATTTATCCATCTATCTATCTATCTATCTATCTATTTATCTATCTATCTAACATCTATCTTTGTGTCTTAGAGTCATGAGACATTTCCTTGTGACTCCCGTTTCTGGAAGAGCATGAGGCTTACTGCCCCATAATATTAGGATACAGCAACATGATATGAGAGCTACCTGCAACCAGGAACTGTTCCTCCCCTGACAGAGGTTGTGGTTCACAAGTGAAATGTCCACATTCATTTGGCTCATGCATCTGGACATTAGGTCCAGAGGTAATGAAATCTTTTGGGATGTGATAGAACCTTTAGGAACTGGTGCCTATGTGGAAGAAGTGGGTCACTGAGGCAGGCATTGAGCTTATAGAGCCACGGCCCCAGTTCGTCCACTCTCTGCTTCCCGTCTGTGAATCCAGTGTTGCTCTGTTGCTCATACCCTGCTGCCATATTTGCCCATCAGGAGGGATGGCATCCCCTCAATCTATGAGCCAGCATTAATCCCTTACCCCTTTTACTGAGTCTTGTCAGGTTGTGGTTCTAGCAACACCAAAAGCCACTAAGACTAGAACAGAATAGACAGACTGAGAAAATGGAGGGAAATGGAAAAGAAAAAAACCCCTACCCAGAATCAGCTTTAAGCCTTTGCCAGCTGAGAATCCAGA